AATTTAGTCCATAAACTTCAAATCTTTTTTTCTAGGTCCCAAATTTAAAAACTTCCAAAGTTGAAATCTGAATTTCAAATTAAAAATTTTAAATCTACATCAAAATTCTAATTTTTAACTGCAAATTTTACCCAAAAACTTCAAAATTTTGGTCTTGTAAATGCAGAATTTCAGCTTCAAAAACTTTAATTCCTAATCCTTAAGTGCAAAACTAAAAACGTTTTAGTCATAATTCAAAAATTTAGTTTTATTTCTTAAAAAAATCGATATTGGGATTTAGAATTTCGAATCCATCTCATAGTTTTAAATATTAACCAGAAAAAGTAGAAATTTTAAGTCTATCTCAGAGTTCAAAGCGGTTAATACCCGAATAACTCTTTTGTAACACATTTTTTCGTAAATAATAAGGTGTCATAACTCGTGCCCCAGAGGAAAATTTCAAGTAAGATAAGATAACAGGAAATGATACCTGTAAATAAAAATTTAACATTTTTTAAAGATACAAAAATTTGTCAATAAAAGCCACACATAACATTAAACAAAGTTACAATTTAGGGTACATCTTCCTTGTTTCCTCTTCTAATAGCTTGTAGCAAAAAAACTTGGAAAATAATTTTTTTAACATAAATAAATAGGGTCAAAGTGCAAAATTTAAACTCTCATAACTTCGAAATTTTTAGTTAGAACTTTTTAACATTTTTCCATGTTCCTGGTATTTTACCTTACGTGGCATTTTATTGGGGCGCGCGTTCTGGCACACCTGTATTTAAACAATTAAAAAATTAAGTTTCTTATAATATCCAAATGTCATTTTTGAATAAATAATAACTCAACGTCGTATAAACTGTTGTTTCAATTGTTTCACCTTACGTTGTTGATGTTGATTAAGAACACGTGTAATCGATATTCACTTGTTTGAAATCTATGAAAAAACAATCAGATCTAGTTAGCCGGAAGTAACAAAAACGTCACATTTATTAGAAGTATTTTTCGTTTTCTCTCTTGTAGTATTTAAAAAACAAAAAACCTTTCGACTATTCCTTTACTGTTTTGTAAACAAAATCCAATTGGCCCTGACTAAGTGTCAGTAGTAAAAACAATTATTCAAAACAATCTTGAACTAGTTGGCTATGAACAAATATCATTTTTTGACGTTCAATTATTTCCAAAAAAAATTATTTTATCACACAACAAAAAGTGTCACAACGTCAAATAATCTACCAATTTATTGTTTTAGTTTTTGAAATAATAATAATTTTTGACATTTCATGGCCATCTTAGGCAATTAATTGTGCCATTATCACTAGTTTAAAATTTCATTAATTCGGATCCCAAAAATTCCAATAATATTGCAGTTATCATTATTATCAAATAAAAGTGCACTAATCACTTATCAATACGTAATAATATCGACCAAACTAAACTAAAGAATCTTGGAATGTTTCGCACAGCCAACTGGGATCATACTCCCATTATCAAAGGTGGCTTCATTTGTTTTGAAAATTGACAGCCACGGCCAACTTACGTGTTTGCATAAATTGGTTCCTCGTTTCCCTCGTCGTCCAAATTCCCGTCTTTGCTTTTGTGCGCATCCTTCGAATTCATATACTTGTCGATTTCCTTCGTTTCCTCGTCGATGAGGGGCTCCGTGATGATGTGCTTGATTTCGCCCTTCTCCTGCTTCTTGATCGAGTAGTTGTAGTATTTGACGGCCTGCTTGACGGCCAGAGGGTTGTTGACTTGCTCATCTCTGGTGATTTGGGTCCCGATCTGGCGCAGCCACGCCGACGGCAGCCCCTCGAGCTCCCCGTGAGCGTTGATACTCACGTGGATGTCGTGGTTGACGTTCGTGGGCTCGCTGATCACTGCCACGGCAGAGGGGGCGTCGTCCCGCGGCCTGGTACGGCGCTTGAAGATGGACATCATGGTGTGAGGTTAGTTTGGACGTCTTGAGGCCCCCACACAACACTGCCGATTGCTCATCAACACACACACCCCATTTAGGGAATTCGCGGCATTGCCAACCTGATCCAACCTGACACCTAATGTCACTAGCCAAAAAAAGCAATTGCGATAAAACAAATATCTTATTGGACTTGATAAAAAGAGCACTAATACGTTTTTCCCCATAAAAACAACTCGTTCTCTTTAGTCTTTGTAAATAAATTAGAAGGCATTTATTTATTTGTCATTACCAACTTGTGCAAAACACAATAATGAAATGTCCCTACAAATTATTGGTCAATAAAAAAGAAAATTTTACAAAATTGTAATAAAACAACTGTATTGATCGTAAGAAGACACTAACCCGTATCAAAACAACTCTGACTCTTTTTTATATAATAAATAGAACAAATTTAAATAATGTCACTACCAACCTGGCGCAAAACACAGTTAAATGTCCCTATAAATGAGAATAAAAATTGATAAAATGTAAAAAAAAAACAACCGTAAGGGACACAAATCCGTGTCAAAACAACTCCTGCTCTTTATAAATATATTTACAAATTTATACATCTCGCTTGTAATAAAACACTATCAATTTACATTTCGTTTAAAAACTTGTTTTCTTCTAAGATAATAGACCCTTGAATAGCAAAAATAACAGAGGAGGGTATAAACCTAACAGTAACAATTTACAGGAGAAGAATACACAATCATGAGAGGGTTATTTGTGTGATAAACATGTAAAAATAATACAATAATTAACAACGTTTCTTAAGGTACTCAACAATTGTTTTTTTTTTTGTTTATTTCATATCAAGACATGGATATTTGTCTTTGAATCTTGTCTACAGGCAGTGTATTCACTCTTATTTAATCCTCCGTTCATTTTTTTATTGTTTTTATGATGATTTCCTTTCCTCTTCACCATAGTACGTGTCTCTGAATAATGCTAATGATCACAAGCTTGCATCTGATATGACGTTCCTTAATTCCGATGTGCTTCACACACGACGAATCCACTGCTACGACTTGGTTCCGTCAATCACTGTCGGACATTACTTTTTTACGTTTCTTAGGCTGCTTTGGCTTCACGATTTCCTCCTCCTGAAACAAAAAAAAAATACTTTGAAAATAATTTGGCAACATTGAAAAATGTGTCTTTAGCCAACACCCCTGGCCACACCCACAGGATTTTCTTGTTTAGAATATCGTCCCAATATATTTATTTAAATTTATATTTAAATAAAACGCAACGATTCGAATTACAAAACGAGATCTTAAAATTTCAATTTCAAATTCACCTGTTTTTCTAAATGCAGAATAATATGTATTAGCTGAAAAATTTGCTTTTTCAATCGTTAAATTTTATGATAATTTATCAAAATCTTGCGTTTCCTAATAAAAAATTCTATTTTAAAAACAAAAACAAAAGAAGTTATAGCTTTCGTTCCTTTCCTCATAAATTCTCTCAAAATAATAAAAACAAATACAATTTTTTTTTATATTAATACGTAATCTTATGATTAAGTTGACAACATTGAAGAAATTTTATAAAATATTAAAACTACTAAACTTCTTATTCAATTGTTATCTAAATTTCGTATTATTGTCATTTCACAAAAATATAGGTATGTAAAAAAATCAAGAAGGTTGTGAGCAAATCTTATCTTTTTTATTTTTTGAATCATCAGGGAAAAAATAGGCGAAATTCCTTATATTTATGACCATCTATTACTCTAAGTTAACGCCCCATGCCACTCCTCCATGTTCATTAATTCTTTGAACTCCGCCCACAAAATTTAAATTACCTACAAAATCAACCAAATTAAACAATAAATATTACTATTTTATTTATCATTTATTTATCAAATAATTTTTCATTCAATAGAACAAAAAACAAAAAATCTGTCTAAAAGTTCCATTTTCGATTATTTATCATCGTTTTCATCACATTTTATACTTTTTATGTAAATACACTAGAGTTTTACGCATTTCCAGTTCATTAAAACATTTCCATACGTTAACTCCCTAAACCACGCCCATGTGTTCTTTTAATTATTAAATCACCCCCACAAAAGCTAAAATACTTCACTAAAATAAGTAAAAAATTATAAAACACTTCTAAAAATATGAGGAATCAACAAATGCCACTATTTTAGTGTAAACTTTGAAAAAATAGTCAAGTTATTTAGTTACTTTTATCAACAATCATTACAAAAACAATTAAAATCCGTATTAAAAAAATGTCTTTACACATTTCTTCCCTAACAAATTAACAATAATTCATAATTACAACAAAAACAAACAAAAAAATCTATCTAAAATTCCTCTATTTTCATTGTTTAGGTTTTTTTTTCAGTATTTATTTACGTCATATTTTTTACTTGTTTACGTAAAAACTGAAACATTGCACAAAAAATACAATACTTTCAAAAGTGAACTTAGCCACGCCCCTGTGTCCTTTTGCTCATTAAGCCCCGCCCATAAAAACTAAAATACCTACAAAAGTAACCCTATTTTCTTGTTTTTTTCAATTTTTACTTAATTACAACAAAAACAAACAAAAAATCCGTGTAAAAATTCCATTTTTTTTTCTACTTTCAACTTCAATTTTTCATTTAGTTACAACAAAAACAAACAAAAAATTCACCTCGAACCTCCATTTTTTTCATTTTTTATAATCATTTTTGGCACTTTTGTTACTTATGTAAACACTCAAATATTACACATTTTCTGTTCAATAAAATACTTCTCATGAATAAACGCCCCTATGCTCTTTTGTTTTTTAATCCCGCCAAACCAAAAAATTAACAAATTTTTTTCTTTTTTTTTCAATTCTTCATTTACAAAAACAAGAAAAAATACATCTCGAAATTCTATTTTTACATGATTTGTCATCATTTTCAACACATACAGGGTGCGCCAAAACTCGCGCCCCAGAGAAAAATGACATATAAGGTAAGATACCAGAAACATGGAAAAAGTGTTTTTTTCATTATTTATCATCATTTTTAGCACATTTTTTTCTTATTTATTACGTAAATACTCAAATATTACACACTTTCTGCTCAATAAAATACTTTCATAGATAGACTCCCCAAGCCACGCCCCTAGGACGATCCTTTTTTTCATTAATCCCGCCCACAAAAACTAACCAAAATTAACCAAATTCATTTTTTTAATTCTTCATTTAATTACTACCAAAACAAAAAAAAGGGCATCTCAAAATCAAATTTTTTCATTATGTATCATCATTTTCAACACATTATTTACGTAAAAGCCAAAACAATGTAACTTTCTGCTCAATAAAAAAATATTTTCATAAGTAAACTCCATAAACCACGCCCCTATGTCCTTTTATTATTAAACCCCGCCCACAAAAGCTAAAATACTGAACCAAGAACTGTGAATTAAAATTTGTTTTATGAAATTTTGCAAAAAAACAAAACCAAAATCCGTCAGAAAATCCATTTTTTCATTAGTTTTAAAAAACTAAAATAGTAATAAACCCCGCCCCCTTACCTCGCTACTCTCCTCCGTCGAATCACAAATCTCCCTAACAGCCGTCCTCTTCGTTGCCACAACACTCTTATTCACCGGCTTCCTTCCTCTCCCCTGCGATCGACTCTTCGTCGCACTCACCTCCTCCTCCTCCTCCAACAATGCAAATAACTGTCCAAACTGCTTCTTCTGTCCCTCTGTACAATTATTCAATGCAATATTCAACGCCCTCTGCATCGAATCAAGTGTATAAATCGCCATACAATCATGACGTTCACAAATCACACGTAATTGCTCCAAATGACCCAAAACTTGTTCAGCACTCGGTACACTCGCACTCATCGTCTTTCCACTACGTTTCCGTTTATTGGGCGACGTTGACGGATAACGCGTACTCAAAAGTGACGAAATTAGCTCAGCTACCTTATCAATATACTCATCACACCAGTATTTGATAATAGTAAAAATGAATAAATCACCGTGGGGAGAAAGTTCACGTGAAAACAAATACTTAATATAGTCAGCATTGGGACGCTCCTGTTTCAACATAAGCATGACCGAGGTGAGGGCCTCGGAATGTAATTCATAATCTAATTGGGTGATAAGCGGCAACACTGTATCAATACTTATATCATGGGCGTGTATTAATTGCCAGAAAAAAAATTGCTCGATACTTTCCCACGTTAGCGTGATTTTAAGCAACGGTACTAAATTTTCACTTTTAAACATGACGAGATGTCCTTGAAGAACTTTCCCGACTAGAGTTTGCAATTGTCGCGAATCTATAGCTGATATTATCACACGTATTATTTGAGCGTTATTAACAGTTTGTTGTTTGAAATCCCTAAATAAATCAGGCACTATCCACATCATTAATTTGGTATCACTGATATGGCATGCCACCAAATCGTCGAGTAAACAAACGTCGATTTTTTTATCACACGATTGACAATACTCTTTATATACACTCACTTTTAGTGCACTTGCTTTTGTCTGATCTTCACGTTTGTTTTCTGTCCGTATTTGAACTTTAAGAAAATACAATAACAAATAACCGACACTTGGAAAACAAGTGCGCATTTCGGTTAATAACCGTAAGAGGATTTCCTTTCCCTCTTCGTCTTGTTTCGTGAAATTGTACAAAGTTTGGAAGAGGACAAAAAGTGGCATTTTGATACTTTCAAGTAACTTATCGTCGGTCATTTGTTCCGGACTGAGGTCACTACTCTTGTGATCATCTTGTATTATATTTGATAAAGTCTTTGCAATGATTGGGAGGTTGTCATCTTCATCACCTTCAAACCCCATCAAGGTTTGTAAAAACGCCTCCATGTGACCACAACGACTCTCCTCATCTTTTTCCAATTGTAATTTTGTCAAAATCTCCCCCAATGGTCCATCAATACTGTCATCCAACTTATCCAAAATCTTCTCCTTTAACCTAACTTTCGACAATGGAATGTCATCATCATCATCATCACTGTCATCATCAAGAGCACAAATCGTCAAAGTTTGCTCTTCCTCATCATCACTAAACGCCGGTTCATTGTCCAAAACATGATTATTGACAGTGTTGTTGATTCGATGATCACCATCTCCGACTCCAGAACTCTCTGGTACCGTCGTACAAAACTCCTTGAACGTTTCCCGTACCATATTCCTCAATTCGGGATCAAGTTTCGCATTATCGAATAATGGTACCAATGATGGTACGACTCGTTTCTCTAAAATCTTCCTCAGCGATGAGAAAATTCCATTTCGAACTTTTTCCGTTAACGGTTGATGGAAATTTGGTATGATTCGACATAGGAAATCTAGTAGTGTTGCACTGACTGCTGGATGGGAACGCATTGAATGATGCATGACTAAAATTGCTGGTTCGATGTTCATGATGTTGTCTTTTTCGCTATCGAAGAATAGCCAATCGTAGAAGAGGGCGAGTTTGGCATTTGAAACGGCAACGGATGAGGTGCATGTGGTGAGGAGCCAACCGATGACGGCCCAACGTGGAATTATATCAGAACAGAGGAGTTCATTGGTGGGGTGGATGACGCCGACGATAAAACGGATTATATCGCAACGAAGGCTTTGCGATTCCGGGGTGGCGAGGTATTGGCGTTGGAACCAGTCCTGGTAACGTTTGTGGTTGCCGAAACGGACCTGCAGAAAAAAAAATTGAATTAAAAAAAAAATTCAACTGTCAAAAAACCTTTACTAGAAAATAGTAGGCTTTGAAAAAAACCAAAAAAATCGCATCAGATTAGGTGGTTGTGATCCATTGAAATAATCACTCTTAAAAAAAGTTGGCTACGAAAAAAAAATCAGCTGTTGTCTATATGATTAAATGTCAAATTTAATATTGACTGTGATTAAATGTCAAATTAAATTAAAATTAATTAATGATAAAAAAAACGATTAAAACAGGTGACTGCGATCAAATGTCAAAAAAATGGTTAACAAAAAAATCAGTTAGCTATGAGGTCAACAGACAAAAAAAAACATAATAGGATAGTTGGCAGTGGTTAAAATGTCAAAAAATCTATTCAAACCAGATGGCTATGATCAATATTTTCAAAAAATCTTCACTAGTAAATAAGTAGGCTATAAAAAAATCATGTTAAAATCGTAACATTTGTCGTTTCCAAAACGAAGAACAAAATGGCTGTATTAAATGTCAAAAAATTTGATTTAAAAAAATCGCTTTAGAAATAGTGTAGTTGGCGAGAGTTAAAATATCAAAAAATCTATTTAAAACAAATGGCAGTGATCAATTATTAAAAAATCTTCATCAGAAGGTAGTTGGCAATAAAAAAAACAGTTAAAACTAGAAAAAAAAACGCATTGGGATTGTGACTAGTCAAAAAATAGAATAGAATAGTTGACGTCAATAAAAAAACTAAACTGTAATCAATGTCAAAAAATTTGTTAAGTAAAAAAACAATAGTGGAAATACATGTAAATTTTCATGTTAAAAAATTGAAAAAATTATTAAAAATTTGTTCATAAATATAAAAAAAGACTCAAAAAACATAACATGATCAAAAAATGCGATTAAAATTTAAAATAAGTGACTGTCAAAAAAATCAGAGCTATGATCAAGTGTCAAAAAAATTAATTTAATATACTCCAATTTTAGTCGGCTGGGAACATTTGACAACTGATAAAAAATTTAAGATAAGACAGTTGACTGTGATCTAATAATAAAAAAAACACGATTATTTACTAAAAAAAATAGTATAGTTGGCTATAAGTAAATGTCAAAGTTTGAAAAGTAAAAAAAAAAACGTAAAATTATCAAATGTCAAAAATAATTCAAAAATGTTAAATCACCCGTTTCCGTGGTTGTATTCAAATACCCAGTAAATCTTAATTAGAATAGTTGGCTGCGACTAAATGTCAAAAATAATCGATTTTATGGGTTTGAATAGTTGACTGTGATTCACTTTCCAAAAAATATCAAAATAAAAAAATTCCAACGTAAGATTTTATTTAAATCCAAAACCTAAAAAATGTTGATAAAACAGTTGGCTATAATCAACTGTCATAATAAAAACTGTCAAAAATTCGCCATGAAACGTCACCGCGGCTGTCATTTACTATCTCAACCGCCCTTAGAATTTCATTCTCGCATAATTTCTATCCCATTTCGTTTTATTTCTGTTTGTTCGATTAAAAGTTGATATACGACGTCTGAATTTCCTCCATTGTGAAAGTTTTAATAATACGCGGTTTATTTGTATTTGCCGACTGTTTCGGTATACCTACTCTATTATCTGTTGGTAATGTAAATTAGCAAGGTTTTAGTAGTTCAGTTGTCTATCAACAAAAATTCGTTTAAATAAATGAAAAGTGGAAATGAAATGCATTTTCGTACTTTAATTAATTGGGTAATTAATTATTAATCGACACCGAAAACCAACACAAGTAGTTGAGTTTTTTAATAGAAAACAAAAGAACATCCAATAGGGAGATTTTCATTCAGATTTTTTTATTGACCCACCCCGTATAATAAAAATCAAAACATCAACAACCTTGGTTCTATATTTACCAGAAAAGCAATAAATTCAATTAGTAATTTGTTTGTTACGCCAAACCGGTAAAAATCTAATTCTAAGCCTACTAAGTTCTTTCAACAACCAAGACAACTTTGCCACAAAAATAAATAACAATCAAGTAACACGTTGTCATGTTCCCAAAAGACGTGAAAGTGAGTTTAATTAATATTTTGCTCAATTGTAAATTAAAATTTCAATATTTGCGTACACTTTACAAGATAATCTATAACTTGTATTCGTTTTATAGTATTGATTAGTAACATATTATAAAAACATCGATTTAACGTATCGCTTTTGTTAATTCAGTTGGCGTTGATTTTGATTTTTTGTATATACTCTGTAATTTTTTAATTACGTATTTGAAATCGAGGTGTGCGATGATTAAATGTCAATGACGTCATGTAATGATTTTTTTGTTTTCATTACCACTATGTATAATTACGTCAGTCTGGAATTTATGAGCGAGAGAAAAACTTTATCACTTTTAGATAAGGATCAAGGCATACTTTAATTTTTTTTAATCGTTTTAATGACGCCACTTATTTTTTGTTGTTACACTCTGTATAACACAGTTTTTGCGTAATAGATGAACAGCTGTTTTCATTCAGCAAAAATAGTTTCAAGTCAAAGCCATCTAAGAAAATAGTAGTGAACTGTTGTTTGTTAAAACACCTTATATTAACACAAAAATTAATAACTGTCAACGAAGATTTCTAGACACCACCCTGTATATTAATTATAAAAAAGTAGCTTATCATTTTTCGAGTCATATTAAATTGTACTTTTCTCTCGTTAGTGTTATCAAAGTGGCCTTGAATAAATGTCGACAATGAAACACAAAACTTTAAATTTCCCTTTTTGGTTGAAACATTCCTTTTACTGTATAGAGTTCTTATATCTAAACATCCAAATCGTATTTTTTTGGGTTAAGAATAAATGTCAAAAAGCCCGCAGATTTTATCGAATCGGCGCTAAAAATGTCAACATTGGAACAAAAAACTAAGTTTTTTTAATAAACACAATGAAAAAAAGTCAGGTAGGCCTCACATATTGTCAATATTTTCACCCCAAATTTATCAATGTAGCGTTGATTTTAAATTTCAATAGGAAACACATACTTCAATTTTGCAGTATTACTGACATACCCCCTGTATATGAACCGTTTTCAAATCGACCTGTTTTTGCTTGAAAATATATTTATTTACTCAATGTCAAAAGTTATTGAGACTGGCTCCTTTTGAAATGAAAGCCCTTTTATACTACTTTTTTGATAAATTTGATAAACATTTCAATACAGCGTTGATTAAATGTCAATGAGGTCCTTCTCTTGACACATCCTGTACATTGTTTACCCAAAATTCGGCCACACTGATATTTGAAAAATGGAAAGGAAAAGCGTCAATTTTTATTTTTTACTGACACACCCTGTATATGAGCCGTTTTACCCCAAAGTCGCTCATTTTGTCCCTTTTTAGGATAGCACAAGAATCTCAATTTTCTATGTTTATTGAAACACTATGTATATTGAAACAGGAATATATAAAAATTCTTGTAAAAACGCCCAAACCGTGTTTTTCCGGTAATCTTTGATCACGAAAGTCAATGATGACACAAAAATTAATTCTTTTTCAATTTAATTATAAAAAAAAATATAAATTAGCCTCAGTTTTTGGTCCATTTCAATGTATTTTTTTTTAATCCAGAAACTTAATTATTTATTATTGTTTCTTAAAGGTAGAGCAACAGACGGCCATATTGTAATTTTTAAGGTTAGATTCGACTAAAATTAAAGGTCCATTGAATAAATGTCAAAATTGTAACAAAAATCAATATTTTTTGATAAATTTAATACAAAAAAGGGAATTCGCCTTGATTTTTGGCAAATTTAAAATTTTTAACTAAAACATGTCAAAATGGCGTTGATTAAATGTCAATGAGTTTTTTCTCTTGACACACCCTGTATATTATTTTAACCCAAAGTACAGGGAAATTGTCATAATTTAGGATAAAAAGAAGGCCAAAAACCCCAAAAAAACATGAATTACTCTAATCAGGACAATGAAATGAATTTGAGGTTAGGTACCCACCTGCGATGTAAAAAACACGAGTTTTCTCTCCATATCCGGCGTGAGCCTCGACTGTAGATACCTCCTCGACGTCCTCGCTTGCAACAGTTGCAAAACCCCCGTAAAAGTAGGACTGAGCGTCCTGGGGGCTGTCAAAATGTCCTTCCACAGTTGTTCAAACTCGGGGATCCTCGCAACGTTTTGCAAGAGTCTCACTAGGTCACGCCCGATCCCGATACAGTCATTGAACCGGTCCCTAATCAAACTAATTAAAAAATTAACTTCTTTCTGTCTTAATGGGGCTAAATAAGGCGCATTGTGGTCCTCCACCAGTCGCAGATACGTGTAGACGACTGAGGGTATCAGCAGAGGGAACTTATCCAGCCAGCTGCGGTACTCCACCAGCACGTCGAGGAGGCTCTCGATGAGGGCGATGTTCTTGGCGGAGACGTCGCCCCCCGCCGCATGCCTCATCAGATTCCAGCAGAGGTTGTCCACGTTGTTCACGGCATTCTTGATCATCTCCCGGAGGAGCCACACCAGCTGGGCCTTCACTACGTCGGTGAAGCGCAAGTAGCGCTCCAGCACCAGCTGCGAGAGACTGTTGAGCACCAGTCCGAAGCCGTCGTTGGAGATGAGGGTCAAGTCCCGGTAGCCCCTCGCGGCGTTGTGGGGCTCGGTGAGGATGGTCACCAGCAGCCCCAGCGACACCTCCTCGTAGCCCTTGTCTTTGAGCAACGCCTTGGTGATGGCGTCGTAGGCGTCCTTGTCGCTGAGCCCCGCCGTGAGGCCCGCCACGAAGTGGTAGCTGCGTTCGAGTTTCTGAAATTTTGAATTTCGCGCCGTTAATTTGACAGGGCGAGAGAGGAAAATGGCGGACAAAGCACCATCGAACAAGAGGCTAACTTTAGGGGGCTTTACCTCCTCTAATTCGTCTTTCGTTTCGACGGACGAGGTCTGGAACAGACGAGACATCTTCGGAGGCTTGGCTTCCATGGGCCCCGATCGAGTTAACGGACACTAGAGGACGACAACGATTGATAAACACGGAAGGGTCGGCATCGTCCCATCCTCGGAAAATGTTTGTGGAAATCAAGCGCGCGGTGATATATACGTCGTGTTTCACACCGGAAATGCACGAATATGGACGGCTCTAACCGACATTTTTCGAGCAAATTTCAATTTTTCGCTGGTTTTTAGTGTTGAAGTGACGGAAAAAGTGTTAATTCACAGACACAGAGACGGATTAACGTTTTTGAAACGGTGTGTGGGCACAGAACCGGACTCAGGGATCACGTGACCGGCATGGTATTTTGTCAATATTTTGTTAGTCAAATTTTATCAAAGTTTGTTTCTGATAAACTGGAAATACCAACTTCCAAGAATAAATTTTTTTTCGTGTCATCATCAAATTTCGTGGCGCGAAATTTGAAAATTGCTAACAAATCTCGTGATTGGCTTAAATCTTCTAAAAAATATTGATTTTTGTTACAATATTGACATTTATTCAACGCCAATTTAATGGACCTTTCACATGTAACCCAAAATCCATGAAAAAACTTATTTAATAGCCCTGAAATCGGAGCTTTTTTGTATTTTTTCGCATTTTTTTTAACCTAAATAATGAGAATTTGGCCGGATTTTGGATGTGTCAAGTGAAAAAACTCATTGACATTTAATCAACGCCATTTTGACATGTTTGAGTTAAAAATTCTAAATTGGCCAAAAATCAAGGCTAATTGCTCTTTCTAGGAAGAACTTCCTTGACTTGTGCCATGCTTCACACGCTCAACCAACGAGAATTCTTCGCCTGAAGAAGATACAATTAAAGTATCAAAACGTCGCAACGAATTTAATGTTTTATTTCCCTGTGTCCTATAAACCATCTTCTACGCAATCAGGCTATCTAATTTTTTTTTGGATCGCACGGAACTATTTTTAGAACCCTTTAGCCATTAAATTAAATGCGATAATTATGCCGATCAGTGTATATAAATTTGGAAATAGAAAATGTTTTATTAAATAGATAAAACCTTGTATTTAACTTGCACATGATGACTATAATTCGCTCATATGATGGTGTATAAACTTCATCCTCTTGAACTATAGAGGCTATTATATGCTCGTTAAATAATATACATAGTATTTTTTTTAATATTCAACGATTGTACGAGAAAAAATAACAAAAAGACACCTAAAAACAGAAGAATCTCTTATTAAAGAAAAATAATAAAAAAGTTTTCAATGTATTTTATGCAGTAAGTATGTCCCCGGATTGAGTTTACAAGAGAAAATTTATTTAGATTTTACGCTAAAACTTCAAAGGAAAAAGATTTTTTGCTTTATCTGAAACGAGCAAATCTATAATTAAATCTTCATTAATCTAACTCTATAGAAATAAAAATTTATTCTTCTCTTGATTTCGGACTTTTCTGCTTTTTAAATCCTATCACATTGGCCGTTTTATTTATTTGATGTTACTTTGATGTTTGTGAAAAACATACTTTTAATAAATGGCAACACAAAGAAACAGATTTAAAATAAAAAACAAGTCATTTTTAACAAGAACTATCATTATTTAATTAATAAATTAATTGTCAAAGTGGCAAATAAATTAAACCGCCAATGTGATAGGACTTAAAAATCAAGAGAAAAATTAATCAGAATAATGAAGTTTTAATTACAGATTTGCTCGTTTCAGTTAAAGCAAAAAATGTTTTTTCTTTGCGATTTTGGCGTAAAATCAAAGATTTTTTTTCTCTTGTAAACTCAATCCAGGCACATACTGTATAATCAAAAAAAAATAAAAATTCACGAAAAATAATAAAGAAAAGATACAGAATAAATCAAGTAAAAAACAAAAGAAGAAAAATTAAATTTATTTATAAAAAAAGGAACATAGTACAAACAGGGTAAAATTTCAAAGAAAGAGCGACGACCAATCAGTTTTGGCGCACCCTGTATAGTAGAGATAAAAACAATAGAGCTGAAATATGAAACGTCGTAACAGAAAAATTAGTAAGAAGCATACAATAGAAAGAAATAAAAACGATAAGAAAGAGAGACAAAAACAGGAAGACCAAACAACCGAAAAATTGTAAAAAGCAAGAAGAGCATCAATAAGTAAAACAACTAACGCCAAAAAAATTCTCAAAAATTAAGACTAAATAATTTGTTTATAGATCAAGGTCACATCTTAAAAATTTATTTTGATAAATTTATCTTTTTATTAATTCACCTTATAAATTTATTTTTTAATTGTTTTTCTCATTAGACAAAAATTTGTTTCCTTTGTTGGTCATGAAAAATGAGTTTCCATTGAAAACTTTGCATTTCCTATTACTTTAATCACTGTCGTTCCTCCGGGAAACAGCGCAACGCATTATTACATTCCAATTTAATTAAATCGTGCTCGCAGTTTCGTATATCTTAAAATAGCAATCCCTTGAAGAAGAAAATATGGACAACTCAGAGATCTATTCTTAGTCGAATCCTACGTGGGCATTCATTAAAAAATCAATAAAATTATTTTTCGTGGCCAATTGAGTAGCCAATTTTTATTTTTTTTTTAATTAAAAGAAAATATATTTTTGGTCATTTTTATTTTATTTTCAACAACATCAATCACAAATGGGGTTCCCGGAATGTGAGGCCATTTCTTCACAACTTCCCCTTCTTGTATCTCTGTCTTGCTTGCGATTTGGTGTACCTGGGGGTATGTTTCGTCTCTTTCTCGACCGTCTCATCCTTACCTCCCTCGCTCACTATAAAAAAAATTAATAAAAAAATCACAAAAACGAGAAATACTTAAATCAGGTGGGGGCTCCAATAGCCCCTCGTTTTGACACCTCACGTAGTACCTGTAGGTCTTCGCAACCCCGTACCCCACCATGGCTATAATAATAGTCACGAAAGCCATCAAAAGAGGGTGCTGAAAAATTTTTTCAGTCAATTTCAGTTTTGTGATAATTTAGACTCACAGTCGGTTTGTGGGTAAAAATACAGTCAGCTATTACAATTATGACCCCTATGACGATGCCAATGCCGGCCCCCAGCCAGGGGATGACCTCATCGGCCTTTCTCTCCTTTAATATCTGTCTTTTAGCCCTGCTAAGGGCCCCCATAATATTAACATCGTCGGGTTTCAAATTTAAGGCTTTTTGGTACGACTCGCAGGCTTCCAAGTAGCGTTTCGCTGAGTACTCGACCTCGGCTTTGCGGAAATAGCCCTAAAAAACCCATTCAAAGCCTTGTTTAAACCACACAAATTGGGTTACTTTAGGCCAATTTGGGTTCAGTCTAATGGTTTCATTTGCATCCTGCATTGCAAAATAGTACTGTTGGACCTTGAGGAATGCTAAAGATCGATTACTATACAGGGTGTAATTGTTTGAGTCGCTTTTTAGAGCTTGGGTGTAGTATAAAATCGCTTCTTCATATTTCTGATTTTTGACAGCGGTATTTCCCAGTTCTTTTAATGCTTCCGGTGACTAAAAACAAGCATTTTACGTTTTTTTTGAGCAAAGATGCACAAACCTCGTCCATTATTTATTTTGATATTTCATTAACATAACCTCAAAAACTGTCATTCTGACAAGTGCAAATTACAGTTTCCTTTTTTAAATTTTATTTACAGCGTGGTATAAAGTTGAAAAATTATCAGTTAGTGCCTTTCTAATTAGTATAATTGGCTCAAAATACGTAATTTTTCATTATTATTGAGTAAAAAAATATTTTTTTGTAAATAGTGCCAAGTGATGTAAATCCCATTGGCGTCTCGTGTTTCCTACCAGGGGGATTTCTAATTTGTTGACCAAAAAATTAAATAGGTTGTAATTATTTATATAAAAAGTAAAATTCAAACATTTTACGTAAACTAATTAAACTTTTGTAGCCGCATTTGCTGCCACTAAAATTCAACCCCTCACCCTTTCGAAAAGGGTAGTTTACTCTTACAAAATTTTAGTTTTTCAACAATTTAAGCGCTAAATATTTTTTTTAATTGACAATATTTTACACATAGCTTAAGGACTGATGGCCGCACTTGCTGCCACCACCATTGAACTTCTCACCCTCTRGGGAAGGGTAGTTTACTCTTACAAAATTTTAGTTTTTCAACGATTTTAAGCGCTAAATATTTTTTTTAATTGACAATATTTTACACATAACTTAAGGACTGTTGGCCGCACTTGCCGTCACCATCACTGAACCTCTCACCCTCTCGGGAAGGGTAGTTTACTCTTACAAAATTTTAATTTTTCAACGATTTTAAGCGCTAAATATTTTTTTTAATTGACAATATTTTACACATAGCTTAAGGACTGATGGCCGCACTTGCTGCCACCACCACTGAACTTCTCACCCTCTCGGGAAGGGTAGTTTACTCTTACAAAATTGTAGTTTTTCAACGATTTTAAGCGCTAAATATTTTTTTTAATTGACAATATTTTACACATAGCTTAAGGACTGTTGGCCGTACTTGCTGCCACCACTACTGAACCTCTCACCCTCTCGGGAAGGGTAGTTTACTCTTACAAAATTTTAGTTTTTCAACAATTTTAAGCGCTAAATATTTTTTTTAATTAACAATATTTTACACATCTCTTAAGAACTATCAGCCGCACTTGCTGCTACTACCACTCAACCTTTTACCCTTCTTAGAAAGGTAGTTTACGTTTGCAAAATTTTAGTTTTACAACGATTTTTAGTATTCCAGAATTTGCGCCTTAAAAAATTGACAACCAAAAAGGAGTCTTCAAATAAACAAAAAGGAATTTTCAAGAATCGTTGAAAAACTAAAATTTTGTAAGAGTAAACTACCCTTCCCGAGAGGGTGAGAGGTTCAGTGATGGTAACGGCAAGTGCGGCCAACAGTCCTTAAGTTATGTGTAAAATATTATCAATTAAAAAAAAAATTTAGCGCTTAAAATCGTTGAAAAACTAAAATTTTGTAAGAGTAAACTACCCTTTTCGAAAGGGTGAGGGGTTGAACTTTAGTGGAAGCAAATGCGGCTACCAAAGTTTAATAAGATTACGTAGAATGTCTGAGTTTTATTCTCTATATTAAAAATTACAACCTGTTCAATTATTTGGTCAGCAAAATAGGCAGACCCTCAACCAGTGGCGTAGGTATGTACCTTTCAACTTAAAAAGAAATTTGAAAATTAGCAACTAATGTTTTTCTAACTAATAGTTGCCTCAAAATACGTCATTTTTTTAGATTATTAAGTAAAAAATTATTTTTAAAACTAGTAACAAGTGATAATAAATCATTTTTTGATATTATTGAGTAATTTTTTTTTTGAAATAGTATAAGTCTAAATTACAGTTTCCTTTTTAGTTATTTACGTCGTTAAATTTGAAAATCATCAAACTGACTCAAAATACCTCATTTTTTTAATAGTATTAAGCAAAAAAGTCATTTTTCACAATTGTGACAGGGTTTTGCCCCTCAAAGATATTGGTAAACGTAAAATGGGTACAGTTTGTCTCCATTTATACTTGCGAAGCTATGATAAAATTTTGTCGGTCTATTTCAGAATCATCCTGTATATAACCGAAACAAACACGTAATTTTTCAATATTATTGAGTAAAAAAGATTTTTTTTTGAGAATGACGTAAATTCCAGTGGCGGCTCGTGTTTCCCACCAGTAGCGTAGGTTGTAAAAAAACAGACAAAAATCGGGATGCTTTTAAATATATTGCATAGTTCAAATTTACAATAAAACATAATGTCGTTATAAAACCCTAGCCACTTGATTACGAACTGGACATAATAACCGTAAACAGACTGTTTTTACTTATTTACACAGTGATATATAACATAAATCGACAACAGACCGAGCTTGGCAACAAGTGGCGCGTTTTACATAACAACAGAGAGAGAAAGAGAGCAATCAATGCGCTCGAAAACATGTTAGTCTACGTACGGTCACTGGAATTACTCATACAATAAAAAAACACAATATAACCAACCAAACCAAACAACCAATGAACCATTACTTTTATCACATTAATCCACGTGTCATGTAATTAATTAATATAACATTCAGGCGAATTTTAACAATTGACTCGGTACGTATAGAAATTACACAACCCCGGACTAACGACATTTAATATTTTTTATTTTTTTTGGTTTTTGCTTTGTTCTCAGAAGGAAAAACGATAAAATAAGCGAGAAGACAGAATAAAGTTGATTAAGCATACTCTAACATATTAATTATATATGTAATAATATAGATACATGGTACTGTATATATATTTGATGAGTCAAGGTCAGGCCAAGGTCGTCATCGAAGATCATATGTACAATCACAACCACATCGACGGACAGTCTGATTGGCAGGAAGGGCACTGCTACTGGACAACATAACACTAACGGAATGAGCGTGGTCATCACAGTTCAATAGTTATATACCTCATTTGTTCTAACTACGCCTAAATTAGATCTAGTCGACACGTTCAGCTGTCAGTCACACGGAGGGGGCGGAGCTATGGCGAACTGAACGTCCAATGAGATTATTAATAAATAAAAGAGGAGGGGCGGAATATCAAGTTTGGCACAGGAAAATTGTAAAATGGGAAGAAACAATAAAAAGCGGAAGATCAATGGTAACTGGTCAAAATGGCAATACTGTCAATTTCGGGGATTTTCGGATCGTTATTATGGCACTAGAACTCAACCAAATTACCAGTGGCGTCCCGTTTTGTGCCAAAAAACAAACAAACAACAAATTCGTATCACAAATCAATTTGAGCAATGGCCGCCACTTGTCGTGCCCTGAACTTAACCTATAAATAATAAATAACCGAAAAATCAAGTGTCACTAGACTATATGACTTGACTATTTTTTTTCTTGTTTTTTAAACTTCCAATGGGATTTTTGTGGTTCGTGATGTTAGTATTGAGTCGTCCGATGGCAGGAGTCCATAGCAATGTGCCGGGGCGTGGGGCCGAGAGCCCGAAAAGACCCAGGGTCAGTATCGGGTGTTGGCGAGGCCCTGGTCGTACTCTAAGACAAGACGTTTTATGTGCGAGAGTTTGTCGTGGAGATATTGAAAGCGGCGTTTTAGTTTTTGGTGTTCCAGATCGTTCTTGTTTTCATTGTATTCTCGTACGATTTGCTTTTTTAGATCCTGAAAACAACACAAAATGTAGTTACGAAACAATATTAAAAAAAAAAAAAACAAGCATTGCGTCAACTTTGTTTTTTCACGGCCAATGCGGTAACCATTTTTTTATATTTCTATAACAACTTTTAATTGTTTTTCATCGCTAATTTGGCAACACAATTTATTTTATTCTCACATAATTCTAAAAAAATGCGAACAAAATTTTGCGATACGTAGAAAAATTTCTTTCCTCAGTTGGACATTAAAACAACAACTTATTCTAAAAAGTGAAACTGAAAAATCAAATTACTAATACAATAATAGAAAAATCCTGAGTAATGTTTCTTAAGTCAATTTACATGACAGAAAGTTACTTTGTTTTTTTATGGCCAATTCAGTAACTAAATTTTCTATTCAAATTGTAAGACAATCAAATCGCTAAAAATTAATTATCATTACAATCAAATAGGACCTAAATTCTCTTTTCAAGGCTATTTTATTAACCATTTTTATAATTTCTGTAATATATACAGGGTGCGCCACAACTCGCGCCCCAGAGAAAAATGCCATATAAGGTAAGATACCAGGAACATGGAAAAAATGTTAAAAAAATTTTATCTATAAAAATTTCGAAGTTATGAGGGTTTAAAGTTTGCACTTTGACTCTATTTATTTCTGTTGGCAAAATAATTTTCCAAGTTTTTTTGCTACAGACTATTAGAAAAGGAAACAAGGAGCTGTATCCTAAATTGTAACTCTGTTCAATGTTATTTGTGCCTTTAATTGGCAAAATTTTTGTCCCTTTACTAAATAATTGTAAAAAAACATATACAAGATCATCAGTATAATTAAATAGATATAAAAAAATGTCAAATGTTAAAAAGTAAATGTCAAAATTTTTTGACAGATAAAATTTTTTAAACATTTTTTTCATGTTCCTGGTATCTTACCTTACTTGAAAAGTTTCTCTGGGGCGCGAGTTCTGGCGCACCCTGTATATTATTTATTTATCGTGGCAAATTTGGCAACTAAATTTATTGTACTCTCGACAAAGTCCTAAAAAAATGTAAAGTGAAATCGAAAAATTAATATACGAATACAATAATAGAAAAATTATGGACACAGAAATTTACTTTGATTTTCATAACCAATTTAGTAATAAAATTTTCTATTCAAATTGTAAGACAACCAGATGACTAAAAATTAAAAAATTATTAAAGAAAATATTCGATTTTATTTTTTGTAATTTGTGTGGATTCCAAATTCGCTATTTATTTTTCATAGCTAATTTCGTAACAAAATCTTTTACTTTTGTAATAATACAAGTTTAGAAAATACATAATTATTACAATAAATATAAATTTCTGGCATCGGCCGCGACTTATCATTGCCAATTTGGTAACCAAATTTATTTTATTCTAACAATTATTATAAAAAATAAATCAATCAAATCAATAACTTAGCAAAGTTGAAAAATTAAATTTAGAATTTTTTTTTCCTCAATTGGATATTAAATATAAATTAATTAAATATTAGAGTGAAATAAACTTTAATTTTCATGGCCAATTGGTCCACCGAATTTACTTCAGAATAAATCGACCAAAACTTAAATAATTATTAATAATTTCATTTCATAAACCTTGAGTAAATAGCAAATCCGATATTTATTTGTCATGGCCACTTTGGTAACTTTTTTTTTCTAAAATAAAATAAAATCAGATATGTAGTTAGAAATTGAATAATCATTGAAATGAACAATTTTTCGGCTATCGTTCTGAAACTTAATATGGAACTCAAACTTGACTTTTCATCACCAATTGGGTAATATTTTTTTTCGTAAGCTTTAATTTTCCTTGCCAATTGGGTAACAAAATGTGTCACCAAAAGCGACACAAATTCGTAGAGTGTGAGTCGAATTAAATTACTTGCAATAAAAAATTTGTGTCCTCAATAGGTCATCAAAAATGTTTTTGTTCTATTTTTTGATTCCTAACAGATTAATTCGTTATTTCATCGCTAATTTAGGTTAATTACGGTGTTTCGAGTCAAACGACTCTACCCCGAGTACTCGTTCTCGGTACTTGGCACAATCGTTTCATTACTTTCACTGACAGCTCGCTTTATTATAATACCAACAAATAACAGTTATTACGCAGTACAGATAGTCCTCATTACGAACCGTAAAATAATTGTGCAACACCAAAAAAAAAAAATTTGTATCCCTCGTTGACCATGAAAAAAAAATTGTACTCACTTTAAATCTGGGACTAGACGCGTCTTCTTGTTTAAGCTTCAATTCTAAATCGACGAACCTCCTAGATACTTTTTCCACGATTCCGTGAAGGTCCTTATATTCGGCATAGTCGGCGTTAAAGTCGGCTTTGAAACGCCGCCTTTGATCGGCATCTTTAATCGTAGTGTATTCCCTGCAAAAGTACAAAAATAGAAAAGAAATGATATATACAGGGTGTTACACACGTTAGATAATCGGGAAACTCCGAACTGCTATCGACTTTAGCCACCGCCCCCTTCTCCCTGATTGGTGACACCCTATCCCCGCCCATCGCTTCCGATTGGCTATCGGGACTGACTCTGACACTCCTTTGACTCGTACTTGTCACTCTCTCTCTCTTCCTCTCATTTTCTCTCTGCGTGCATTTTCCGTTAACGTAACCGTTTTCCGTTGTCGTTTTCGTTACCGGTGAATTACCGCCTCCCGTTTTCTCGCGTCCGTAGCTTAAACTATGACTATCACAACGTTGCTTATCATCGTTTCGCAATTTATTATTATTATCATTCGTGTAGCCGCCGTTGCTCATGGCGACGGCCGTCGGGGATTCCCTACTACGGGGATTCATGTTGCTGGCGTCACGTGAATCCGTAGGCGGACGACGTTGGCTGCTGTTGTTTTCGATTGGCGAACGATAAGTTTGTTCGGAGGGTTTGCGAAAGTGGGAGATGCGTTGACGTTTCGTGGGAAGACCGTCCTGGTTATCGTAGTAGCCGGGGCGTTTCGATGACGACGATGACGTGGTAGAGATGGGGGGTGGAGAACCGGGGTGGGTGCTTGTCGGGGATTGGCCACTGCCGGAGCTGCCGCCGTCACTGCTGCCGGGAGGGGTCAGGTTCGCCGGCTTACGCCTGAAAATACAACGTTTTTCAACTCCTACTAGGGAAACAAATTTTTCCACACACGATGAAACTCTAGAAACGAATTTAGATATGTTAAAATTTAACTAAAGGCAAAGGAAAGAATGTTAAAAATAAGAAAAAAACACATAATTCTATAAATAGAAAACAAAGAAAAAACAAAAAAAATAATAACCTAAAATGACAAATTAAGTGAAACGGTGAAAAACAGAAATCCTAAAAACTTGAGTCAACATCGAAAAATATGTTTTCGTTTTTCAAGTTCTACTAAGGAAACAAATTTGGAAAAATAAAATTTAACACTTATTGCATAAAATAAACAAAAGGTGAAGAGAAGTTTTTTTAATATGGAAGAGAAGCGACAAACAAAAACTTCAAGAAATTTCAATCAAACAATAAAATTTAGTGAGTCGACAGAAAATGTACTTTTCGTTTTTCAAGTCCTGTGGAAACAAATTCATTTTTATGAAATCAGGCAATAATACGAAACATGAAAAAACTAGAACTCTGGAAAACCATATGTTTACTAAAAAGGCAATAAAAAATAGTATAGTTTTTCATGACCAAGTGAAGAATTAAATTTAGTAGGAAATATGCCAATCTCAAAAGTTTCGCACACTTTTTAATTTTGTAATTCTACTTAGGATACAAATTTCAACATCTTTTTATGAAAAGAAAATTTAAAACCAATTTGGTTACTAACTGGCAATGTAAAATATATAAAAAGAGAAATGACAGTTGGAATATGCAAAAATGTTGCAAAAATAAAAAATCTGTAATTTCTTTTTTTTGTCTAACTGAGGGACAAAACTTAGTAGCATCGAAAACTGGCAAGATTGAAAGTTACATTTTGAATCATTTTGTTTACAACATATGCAATGAATAATAAAAAATAAAAAAACAGTAAGGAATATCGAGAAAACAGAATTAAAAATCAGAACAAATAAAGAATAAATTGTATAAGTGAAAAATTAATGCAAAAATGTGAAAATCAGTTTTTCATGTATAACTAAAAAATCAAATTTAGCAACAAAGAAAAAGCTGGACATGTTCGACGATATCGCACTTTCATTTTTCAATTTCTGGGTACAATTTTTTTATAAATTTGAAATTTTTAACAATTTTGTATATTAAATCGACAATGAAAAATATAGGAATGTCGACAAAAAAGTGAAATAAGAAAAAATAGGTAAATCAAGTCAAAAAACACCAAAATGTTGATCTTCGGTTTTTCATGTCCAACTGAGAAATTAATTTTTACATCCTAGAAATTAACCAAAATCAATATTTTTGTACTACTGTGGATACAAATTAAAAAAAAACTTAGAAAATTTAATTTTGTTTACCAATAGGCAATGAAAAAATATACAAATATGTAGAAAAAAAAAGGAAAATAAAAACGGTAA